GGGCGGAGGACAGGCAGGCTGCACAGAGGCAATCCCAGGGAACTATAGGGTATTTCACACTGTGGATTAGTGGGTACACAGGGCAGAAAAACCTGGGCCCTCCATAAAATACAAAAAAAAAAAAAAGCAACATGGCTGACGTGCCCTGAGGGGAAGGGTACAATATCTCCTACCTCTGAAAATCTGTCGAGCCAAGAGGCGGTGCTCAGACACAGCTTCCATATCCTCCAGTGCTTAGCACCCAGGTGTGGCGTGGTTGAAACCTGAATTCATACCTAAGGGCTTAGCAGCCTCAAAGGGCAGACTGAGACTTGTTCATAGCAGCAAGGCAGATAGGATAGTTCTGTCCTGGGAACTCTTGAGAACTTAAGCCTCCAAGACAAACAAGGAGCTGAGTTTGGGCACAAATCATGGGTGGCGCTGTTCTGCTGTCTCCTGGAGCGCAGACCCGAGGTGGAGCGGGCAGCTGCACAGAGCAGGGGAGTGATCTGCACTGGGAGAGGGCAGGTGGCTACCTGCCTTCTTGGCAGGAGTGCAGTATGTGACCGTGGCATAAGGAAGGGTGTAACCCACCCGCCCACTGTGTAAGAGCGCAGCACCTGACTGCAGTTTTGGGAGGGGATGTGATCTGCTTGCCGACCTGCACTGGGAGCAGCACAGACCAGGGGCTTGGCCAACGGAGGGGTTCTGAATGCAGCGAGCTCAGTTCATGCAGCAGGGAGAGGACAGAAAGACCTCTCGATAAAACCATTAAGAGCATACGGTCTCCATGAGAACACAACCACTTTATTTCTATTTCTCTTTTTCATCTGTTCTATTTTCTATTACCTTTTGAATTTTTAAATTTTTAAACAACTGTATATGTTTCCCATTTTAATCCCTTTAAAATATTTCTTTTATTTTTATTATTACTAGTTTTCAAAATCCACTGCAATTTCAGTTTCATTTATCTTGGTTTTGATCTCCTGTTATTGATTATACTCAAGTTTCAAAATTTTGGAGGGTCTTTTCTCCTTTTTTTGAGGTTTTTAAAAGACGTCTCAACTCAAATTGTTACATTGCTCCAACTTGTTCTTCTGTTGTTGATTATACACTTTTTTCAAGCTTTTTATCTTTCTTCTTTAAAAATTCTTTTTAAATTTTATTCCTGCATAGGCTTAGATAGATTAATAAACTCCTTAATGACCACAATAGATAACTGATACCCATAAGAAATAATGCCAGAGAGAGATAAGCAAGATGAAGCAGAGGGACCACTCCCAATTACACGAGAAATTCCCTGATGATCAGTGAAATAAACACTGATGGCCTACTAGATAAAGATTTCAAAAAAAGTGATCCGAGTACTGAAGGAACTAAGAGTGTA